TTTCTGCAGTCTATTTTAGTAGCGGAACCCTCCCCAAAAAAAGGGCAAAAGGGCACTGCTGGGGGATCTAGGGGAATGGGAGGAAGGTCAGGAGGAAGCCACGAAACGCGCATCCAAAACCAAATTCCTTCGCTCTCTGGAGCTTCCGTGCCGGGTATCTGCGTGAAATGCTGTGGATGGTTGCGAAATCCATGCAACGCACCACCTAAGAAACCAGGGTTGAAGCCCATAACGTTTGTTAGTATTTACGTTGGGGAGTCATCAGAAACTGGGGTATCTTAGGTGGTGCGAAATGGATTTCGCAACCATCCACAGTATGATTCATCGGCCTGATCTCAAAATGGATGCTGGGCTTGCACTGGATGGAGCATGTGCAACTGTTCAGCGCACATGTGGCTTCTTGCCTTCAAGGCTGCATGCCCGCCAATGAAATTACGGTGGAAAACTATTGGAGGAAGGCCCTCACTACAAGCTTCATGGCATATCAATTGGGAACCATGTCGGGCCACCCGAAAGACGGTTTTCCAGCTCAGGATTGGTTTCCCAATCCAGGAGTTCGGACATTCATTCCCAAAAGTCCGCGGCGCGGCGCACGTTTCGCGCTGTCTTCACCGCCATCGGCTTCAGCTGGCTCTTCCCTCGCAGGCCCGCCGCCCCGCGAGGCAGTCCGGGTCTTGGCAAACGTCGCGGCTCGAAGACGTGGGGCGTTGATCAAAGGTCCGTGATCGGGATGACCATGGGCGAACACCACGGAGAAAAACAAATGCGAGACTTCAACCACTAAATGTGTGTTGTTGGCCCGTATGGTCAAATTGGGGGCCAGGAAGATTGATCGATCCCCATGTCACAAGGTTACTCAACACTCGCGTGACACTGGGCCTACCTGAGGACATCGCGCTATTCACCTGTGATCACCCTTGGGGTTGGCAAAACATGGCTAAAAGAAAACAAAGCAAGTAAAAACAAGCAAGTAGAATCAGAACCAAGCTTTGGGTGTGCCGATTCTGCGCACGTCCCTTGGGCCTGTTTCACATTGAGGCTGAGGGGGCCTCTGAACCAGAAGCCCAGACTCACGACACGCCCCGATTGCAATTCCCAGGCTCTGAAACCAAGAGGCCAAAGGGAATACGGATGGATCTGGTCAGACTTTCGGGTTCGGGAATCAATCCCCTGGAGTTCGAACCACTAAAAAGAATGGGGATCCTAAGGGTTGTCATGCCAATTGGCTCAGCCATTTTTTTAGTGGGGGTTGAACCCTAGGGAAACTTCTCAGCCAACTCTCTGGATATTCCGAGAATCGGCTCCCATTCGAGATATCACCCCCCAAGTCCATGTGTCTAGCCTTCAAGGGAACATGGAACCACGGATCGAATTCCTGGGGCCCAGTCCCCATCCCCCGATTGCATTGAGGGGGTAAGCATGTCAAGCTGAGCGGCCTGGAAAATCGCATGGCGCCCCAAAAAATCGACCCCGAAGGATTGATGGGGTATAAAACCGCTAGTTGCGCAACCGCAGAAGCGCATAAAGGGCATACATATATATATATAGATAGAGATATAAATCTACATGTATCCAGTTCCCTCGTAAGTCTTAAGTAGTGGTTTGAGAGAAGGTAATGCAAACCTGCTTCGCGGCAACACATTGGAACATTTGTTAGATGTTCAAACGTCCAAAACCCCGCACCCACCGGTGGCCGCACGCACGTTTTTAATCCCTCGGGGTGAACCCTGCGAAAATGATGGGTTTCCATGTGCCTTGGGCTGCGGCTCCGACCGCTCGCGCCCTAAGGCGCGAAGAAGCACTTATGACAAACAGCCCACGGTCACATGAACAAATCTGATGGAAACTGCTCTGGCGGCCGAAGTTGGTTTCAATGTCAATCTCTGAGTTGTCTTGTGTTCCAACTGGCATTCAGGAAATCAACATGAATAATGCTGTCTGTTGGCACTCCTCTAGCACAGTTTTAGCACTCGTTCTGCACTCCCACAATTGGGGCGCCCCATCCATATCAACCCCTTGGTACGATCTCCCACTTTACCAATAATGGAAACTTAACAGGTCTCTGGCTCGTGGGGAACCACCCGCCAAAGCCTACTGTGTGCTGGGGCACCCCACCCAAAAAAACAACAAGCCAGGAGCGTCAAACCCGAAGAACTTTTGAGCTCGATGCTGCATCAATCTACAAGCCAAACTGTTGCTGTTTCCCCTTGCGGATTCGCGAGACTGACATACCAAAGGTCAACCGGAGACCAGCATCCAAACCAAGCCCTCGTTGGCATAGTTCGCCGGGTTCTGGGGCTTTACCTTTTGAGATGATTTGGTTCACGTTGGAAGGGGAGCAAAAATCCAAATTTTAGCAGCTAGGTGGGGAGTTCCCACTAAACCACAATAAGCAACAATGTAAAATGTTTCCCAACAACAACCGTGATAAGGTCATGGACCTGCCGAGACGAAAGCATCAAAGATTCCTTTGGGGCACAAAAGTACCAGATTCAGTCAGAATTCTAGCACACAACTTTGAACCATTTGGCCAGCAGAATCTGCCGCAGCCAAGCACCCTCCAGGCGGTACCCTCCCCACATGCCTGCTTCTTTGTTTGCTTGTTTGTGTTTGTTTCTGTGTGTGTTCAATTGAATTGCATAAATTGTTTGTTTGTGTGCTTGTTGGCTTTGCTTGCCTGGTTTTGCTTGCTTGCTGGCATGCTGGCTTCCTTCCTAGGTTGCTTGCTTGCTTGTTTGATTGATGATTTGTCTTTGTTTGTTTGTTTGTTTGTTTTTGTTTGTGTGTTTGTGTGTGTGTGTGTGTGTTTGTGTTCGTTGTGCTTGGTTTGCTAGTTTGGCTTGTTCTTTGATTGGTTGCTTGTGTGTTTGTGTGTTTGTTTGTTTGTTTGTTTGTTTGATTGTTTGCTTTGTGGTTGCTTCGTTCTGTGTCTGTTCAATTGCTTGCTTGCTTGCTTGCTTGCTTGGTTGATTGTTTCAGTTTCGTGTTTCCGTGTTGTTTTGCGTTTGTTTGCTTGATTGATTGTTTAATTGTTTGATTGATTGAATTGCGTGTTTTTTGGAATGTTGTGTTTGATTGTTTGCATGTTTGTGCGAGTGTCTGTGCGTGTGTGTGTGTGTGTGTGTTTGGTTGGCTGGCTGGTTGTTTCCAGGCTTGTGCTTGTCTGTTTGTCTGTCTGTCTGGTTGTGTCATTGCTTGCTTGCTTGCTTGCTTTGCTTTGCTTTGCTTTGCTTTGCTTTGCTTGCTTTCTTGCTTGCTTGCTTGGTTGGTCGCTTGTTTGCGTGGTTGTTTGCTTGTTTTGCTTGTTTGAATGTGTGTTTGCTTGATTGTTGTTTGTTTGTTAGTTTGGTTGTTGTTGTTGTTTGTTTGTCTGTTTGTTAGTTTGGTTGTTGTTGTTGTTTGTTTGTTTGTTTGTTTGTTTGTTTGGTTGGTTGGTTGTTTGTTTGTTTGTTTGTTTGTTTGTTTGTTGCTGTTTGTTTCTTTGCTTGTTTGCTTGTTTGTTTGTTTGTTCGTTTGCTTGGTTGTGTTTTGCGGTTTTCGGGTGTGCGTGTTTATTGGATTGATTGTTTGCTTGTGTGAGTTTGTTGGTGTTTGCATGTTAGTACTGTTAGTTTGTTTCATTGCTTTTTGTGATTGTTTGTTCTTTGTTTGTTTGCTTGTTTGTTTGTTTGTTTGTTTGTTTGTTTGTTTGTTGGTCTGCTTGTCTGTTTGTGTGTTTGTGTGCTTGTGTGTTTGTGGGCTTGTTGTTCTGAGTACTGCAACTAAAATCAACATCACCCCTGAGGGTCTGCTTTGGCTTCATGTGATTTACAGGCTTTGCGAGCGAGCCTCAGTTGTTGTTGAAAGTCACACCGCAAGTAGGTTAAAGGGAAATCAGTATGAATGGCTTCTGACTTTCTGACTTTGATAGTATCAAGAGGGCTGTCCCGTTTCAGAGGGAAGCGCGGGAGTTTTCGCTCTGCCAGTGTCCCGGGTTCCATCGAAACCGCACCGCCAGAACTCCTGAAAGCAGGGGGCGCCCTCCAGGCCACCAACGGCATCGGGTCGCGCGCGATAAAAGTCATGAGGAGGCGACGTTTCCGGTGGCGCAGATTTTTGAAGGCCTCCCGGAGAGCAACTCCTCGAAGGGTTGCTGAAGTGAGCGATCACGGCGAAAGGACTGGTTGCAAACTTTGGCAACCCAATGTTCAAGCATGTCTGGGTTGTTGCCACTCGCTCAGCTTCCAGCAACCCAAGCGGAAAAAGGGGAATTGGCCAAGTTTGATTAGCAGTTGGCCGCAGTTCAACAGCGCGGTTTGAACCGCGCAGGATCTCTCAACCGAAGGTACTTTGTCCATCAGCCAGACCTCACCAGGCCGGCACGCTGGCGCCAAATGCGTGAATCACATCATGTAGAAGTTGGAGGGATGTCAAATCTCATGAGTGGATTGAAGAGTACAAAATGGTCATCGGTCAAAAGCCCGTACCCCCAGTGAACATCCCAATCCCCACTAAATTAGGTTCTAACATGGGTGGTGCCCCTACCCCAAAATGGTACCATTGGTTTTGACCCACAGCCAAATGATTGAATGGCAAAGGGGAACGGGCGGAGGTCATCCACCAGGTCCGTTGGCCTTTCAAACAACATCTATGGGCGAGTGAAATCCTCTCGGCTCAATCAGAGTGTTGCGTAAAAAATGGAACCCCTGTGTGAAGCTTCACATTCCTTCCCCTTTCATCCCAACACACCCCGTACCCAAAACAAGAAAGCCGTCAGAAAACACGCGAAAACTCATAACCTAACTAAGGCCTTTTGATGCGCTTTGAGGGTAGCTGTGTAGGCATGCTTTAGTTGGGAAGCCCAAAGGAAAATCCCCATTCTTGCGATCCTAACCGGCAGAAAGTTGGAGAAAAGTTCTCGAGATCGCCAGGTGCCTCACTGGAAACCCTCCGACGGTCGCTCACAGCTTTTGCCGTGGCGGTCGGCCCTTTCGACGCTTGAGCTCCACGACGCTCAGAACTCACAGCCATGCCTCGGCAAAACAGGAAGGCCGCCTGTGCGATGTCAACATGGGTAGGGGAGTGGACCCCCAACAAATGAGGTTCTTTTTGGTTCGCCCGGAAACCCGCGAAAAAGGTTACCCTCACAACACGCACGCACGTCTACACACACACACATACATGAAGTCAAGAACCCCAACAAAACAATGGTCCTGGTGCAAAACCCTTGCGTTTACACCTTTGATGCTGGTACCGGTCAACAAATTTTAAATGAAGACAACTAAATGAACAGTTGAAATGCTTCCAGTAAATTGACCAGTGAGTCAACCCTGACTTGGCGGATAAGGTTGCTATGCTTTCATGAATCTCCTCAGGAACAAGATTTGGTATGTTCGCAAAGCATATAATTTGCAGTAAGCAACACTAAAACTCGCCGTCGCCGTGGATTTGGCAGAACAAGTCCCAAACTGTTGGTTTGCCAAGAAAATTGCCTTCCCAAAAGTGCAAAGTTGAGCACTTGGGAAGGGAGAAACATGCTGGTAACCCGCCGCCACTCCCCACCACCCCGAATCACACCCCTTACCCCCACCCCAAGGCCCCTCCACAAGTTTCCTCCAAACACAGAGTAATTGCGGCCCTGACAGGGGCATGGACTAACAATTTCATTGCTATTTTTTGGTGGTGGGGGGGGGTCCAAAAATGAGATTTCATAGGCTCCAGGTCTGAGTTGTTAAAATCCCTTACATAAAATCGCACGGCGTGTGTTTCCTTTTGGTGGACCTACATTTCAGATACCAGTTCTTGACGCCCAAAAGTAGCAGGAAGAGGTGCTTGATGCTAAACACAACCTGCTCTCCAGGTCGACATGACACACTCCCCTTGCGAGTTGTGCGCTCCTTCGTTGGAAACGTTGACTTGCGGCCGGGAGACGCAGCGGCCCGGCATGCAGCAAAGCATCTTCTTCGTTTTCTGCTCCACGGCCGGCGCTTTCCTGGGACCGAGCGCGGAGCGCGTTGGCTACTGGTGGGCAAAATGCCGCACTTGGGATACGTGAAGCCCGGGGATGTATTGGGATGAACCACTTTTCAATTGGTGTGAAATGGATTTTGTCCCTCCACTTGTGGGTATGGGAGTTTCTAAAAATGATTTTCCTGCGGTATTTGAAGGAATTCCAACAAGGAAGCCAGCCATGTTCGGTTCAAAGGCAGCAAGTACCCGGTTCTTCCCAAGGTGCCATCACCACGCTAACCCCACAAGGGACCTGCTATTTGGGGTATGAAAGACTCTAGGTCTTGATTGAGACCGCGGGCGGACTCTCGTGAAACCTCCCCAGTGGCCCTGAGAAACAAGCGCCCCCTTTGGATGATGTTCAAATAAAACCCTTTGCAAAAGGAAACAGAGGGTGCCGCCGGGACTGGTGCACACCACCCCAAAGGGCTCACCGAAAGTTGGCAAAGTGATCCTTGAACAACATGGACAACAGGAGGGCTCTCTTCAACTCGGCACGAAAGGTGAACAAATGAGGGGGGACTTACTCAAAAAAAAACGGCAGCCAAAGAAGAGTCTCTAAAATCTGAACAACACCCCGCTAGGTCCTCCAGAGAGGTTAGAATAAGTGTACCCTTTTTTGCTGTAGTGTATTTTAGTGGGGGAACCCTCCCCCAAAAAAGGGTAAAGGGGCTGGGGGACCTAGCACCCCAAAGGCTCCACCTCAGCCGAGCGACGACAGCGCGGCGGCCTGGCTGGGGGGGACATGTCCGAGAAAACGCCGCCGCGTGAACACCGCCAGCAAAAGCAACGGAGAAACAAACACAACCAAAGACCAACCAAATAAAACCCACCAAACACCAAAACACAGACACAACACCAACCAACCGGCGCAAGAACTGGGTAACCAACTGGCAAAAGGGCACTCCAACGGCTGGCCAGCCAGAATACTCGGATATTTTCAGTCATCTCAAGACCCGGTGGATTTCCATGAGACGTAATTAACAAACAAGGGTGGGACACACCTGGACGACAAAAACACGCCAACACGGATTAGACAGATTGTGGAAAATAGACCCGTCTGTCACGAAGTCGGCAATCCCTGCACCTCAAATCGAGACAGAACAAGGCTGTGGTTTGAAGCCATTGAGAAGGACACATTTCCCCTTACAAACCACCCCACTCAAGAGAACTCAAAGGTGATTGTTCAAACCGATGAACAAGGAGAAATCTAAAGACTGCTGCTAAATGAAACCAAAAGGCAAACTAAATCCACTCGACACGCTTTGGCACCATTTAGCTTCGCCCGGTACCAGGCTTTAGCCAGCGAGGATCCTGGCACCCATGCCCGCAACATTCATTCCCACTGGCCGACCGAAAAACCAATTGTACCAAAGAGGCGAAGATTTGCTCCTGTTGTACGGCGGCCACTGTCCCAAATATGTTCCCCCCCCTTCAGGGTGAGTGAGAAGGCGAGTCTTGGCCAACATGGAATGCAGGAAGTTCCAGGGAACTACCCCCCTTCAACGCTGATTTGAGCTCGGCCCAGACTTCTGGCAAGCAGCTCAGTGGTTGAACAAAGAGGAATATGAGGGGTAAAAGGAAAACGCAGTTGCGCCCTTTGGAAGACGACAAACAAGTCGTCTTTCATGCAGGGGCAGCTGCCATGTCATGTGTGGCTGTTGGGGGGGGTGTTCGACAAAGTTGGCTTCGGCTTCCGTTTGGTTTCCCACCCAAAGAGTGAGCTGAGCAGGGATTAGGTAGAAGGATACATCCCAGAGTCCGCTGTTTTACACCGATTGGGATCCAAGTCGGCGAGTACTTTGGCTGAGTGCTCACCCAAACTTGCAGCCTGTATTAGCATGCAGAACCCCCACGAAGCGCAAAAAACATATCCAGGGGGGAACCGGTTTCAATCACCAAGCCGGCCACCGGCGCACCTTCCTGGCAGTCAGCGGGAGTTGTGGCTTGGAATCGTCCATCGCCAGCGAGTCCTGTGAGTGGCTTGCCACCTGGAAATATGGATGGTTGCGACATCCTCTTAGGCACCTTTGTTCAGAAACCCAACGGTTTCTGATTCGATTCCCCGACGTAAATACCAACAAATACTGGTTTCAAGCATGGTTTCAAAGTGGTGCGAAATGGATTTCGCCCATCCACAGTAGGTCAACCTTACGGGAACCCTTTTTTTAATTGCTGGTGCCATAGGTGGGAATGAACCGGAAGGGGTGTCCCTTAAAGGAAACGATAGGGGATGGCGTATAGGGTCATTCCCTCATTCCCTGCTGAGAACCAGCAAGTCACTTCAGGTCATTTCGATAACTACCCTCAAGTGGAAACATTTGGCATCTCTCCCTGTAGCGCCCCCACCCATTTTGTGTGGGCGTGGCGTGGGGGCAAAGGAAACCGTTTTAGGAGCACCAGGGCCTAAAGACACTTCGGATTCCGGGATCCCATTCCCTTTGGGCGCGCGTTCAGCAAGCTGGGATGCTTGGCACCCACCCCAAAGGCCGTGACTTTTGGAGGAAGCTTCTCTTGGGGGGGATCCCTGTGTCGGTCCCTTCGGGAGCAATGAGAATGGGGCCTGCCTTAGAAGGATTGGTCCCTTCGTTGGCTTGGGGAGTAATGAGAATGGGGCCTGCCTTAGGATTTGGAGCCTCTACATCACCTGGCATTGGGTGAGGTGTTCCGTGTCCCAAGTTTCATCCTAGGAACCGGGGATTCTCTTACGCAAAATCCATGAATCGTTAAAACAACCGCCGCGGAAATGTCCCGACAGGTGCAGAAACCCTCAGAACAAGGCCAGCCCCACTCCCTCTCTGCCACTGAAACCAAATGAAACCAAGCCCCAGGTCCTGGTACTTGCGGGCCTGGTAAGCACCTCAGCTGGTGTTGGTGGGCGTCATCGTGGCCCTTGGGGTCCACGACTAAGCGGCTCAATGCAAACCCAGCGATACACCCCTCGGCTTACTGACAGGGAGGATCCCATTTCGAGCGCGTTTTTTTTGGGGGGGAGCCCCCCCCGCTCTTCACCGCCATAGTGGTTCATCCCCGGTAAACATCATCTCGGGTTGGGCCATTTCAGTGTCGCCCAACAAACCGAAAGACGACAAACATGTTCAAACTTGTCTTGGTTGCTGTTGACCCCACTGTTGACCCCTCTGCAAAAAGTGTCCTACGTTTTGTGAGTCGAATGGAAAACAGCCGTAAAGAACAAAGCCTCATTTGTAGAGGAATCTCCTTTTTTGGAACCCCCCCTTTTGCGCAACCCATGTCAATATGCAGGGTGGTATGTGCTATTTAGCTCCCTTCTCATGACCCGTCCCATAAATAGGGGGTGTTTACCTCCAATGGTGATGAACCCCCCACAAAACCATGGACACCCCCATATTGATAGCCGGGGTGTATTAATCCGGGGTTGCCTTTACCTGCAAGCTCGCTTTCCAAGAAGTCATTAGAGGTGTGGGTGAATTATGATACTTCACCAACCTGAAACTTGCGGTGGTTGGGCAGCTATTCCCCACGTAAACCACCATTTGGGATGAATTCGGTTGTGTGAGGTCGGTAATGTTGACCCAGGATTCGTAAACCAGTCCCATTATTACGGGGGTGTTCCCTCCAGAAGTGATGAATCCCCCCTAAAAGGGGACACCCCCCTATTAATCAACCAGGGGTTTATTAATCTGGGGTTAACATTATGATTCACCCAGAGAAATTCAGCCTTCCCATGCCGAGCCGCTGATCAGCTTGCAGGACTCGCTAAGGACGAAGCACCCCACCGGCCCTGCCAGCGCCAGCGCCCAACCGAAGACGCCTCAAGAAAAACGCAAAAATCCCCCACAAACCCCGGCAACGCGGTGGTTTCGGTGGGTTCAGAAATGGCGGGTTGGGAATCCCACCACGATGCGTTTGTGAATGAATGCATCAATGATATAGCATGTTTAAAGATACACTATATATGCATTGACTATGCATATATATATATATATGGGTGCCCAAAGCATTTTGCCTGTTTTGGTCAGGGAAAGGGAGAGCGCGAAACCATCGGCACGCGACCCCAAAAACAAGAATAGAAATACCATCCCAATGGTTGGTCTCCTCTTTTGGCGCTGTGTGTGTGTGTGAAACAGCACACTTGTATCCTGTTGTGTTGGGCAATAAAGACGACAGGGGTGTGGAAAGGGTGCCCAGAGGCTGCCCCACACCGGCTGAGAGCTTTTTTGTGGGAAGCTACGCCCTAACCCCAAATCAAAATGGAGGAGTGTCCTTTTGTCCACCGAAAAAGGGCTCACTCAAAAAGCAGAAACTTACATTCATGTATCCTGATCCAGTTTCAACCACCCCCAACAAAAACAACCCCCGCCAAAAAAGACCCACAGCCGCGAATACGGAAGCGAAACTCCTGTTTTAAGAACCCCCCCCTCAAACCAAGCCCAAAAAAGGAAGAAGAAGAAGAAGAAGAAGAAGAAGAAGAAGAAGAAGAAGAAGAACACGTTGTTTTTCTTTTTTTGGCTTCCTTTAAAAACCACCACCAAAAACATGTGGGGGGAGGGAACCCCCCCCAAAAAAAAAGAGGAGGCAATCCGACCCACCCAACTGCTCCACCTGCGGGGAGTTGCAACTCTCCTCTCGAGACCCCGAGGCCCGGGCCAATCTCCAGCCCCCGCAGGCCCAAGATCCGGTCCGAGAGGTACGGCACCAGCACCGCCTCGGAGACTCGCCGCTCGCGCCGCTCGGCGCCGAGCTTGGGGCGATGGAGGGGTCGAAACGGGCACCGGTGCCCTAGAAACTGGTTGGTTCCATAGGCAGGGAAGTGAGGAATGGAATGAGCCCGGGTTTTTCAACCCGGCCCTCGATTTGGGTTCCGTTTTTCTGGAATGCCCTTCGGGTTCATATCCAAAACCCGGACTCTGTCATTCCCTACTGAGCTCCAGCAAGTTTTGGGGCGATGGAAACCAATCAAAGACTTGATCCGCAAAGCTTCGAGCCGGACGTATATGGGGGTTGATCAAAAAGTCCAGTAAACATCGGATGAGCATTGGTTGGAAACCAAAAAAAATGATGAGATATTTCCCACGTGGGACAAGCTGCCCATGGTCATTAGGGGGCCGAACGGAATATTGATCAACCCCCATATATCTTTCGAACAAAGGACATGCCCTGAAGATCAAGGATTTTACACAGGTTGCCTTCCTACAGATTAGCACGCACCTCGCCCCCCCAAAAAAGACAGAACAGGGAAACCAAAACAAGTCTCAGGAGCGTCCTTTTAGTAATCTCCTCATCCTTGTCCGTGTTTCAAACAAGGAAACCTCATGGACTTCCCCAGCTTCCCCTACCCGGAAACAAGCATGATTCACTATGAAGGCCGCATGTTGGTGGGAACCCTGCGTCTGACTTGCAGGGGAGTATTCTTGCCTGAAATGTCGAATGGGCCCTTGTCAATGGAACCTTCGTCCGTTTCCGAAGATCAGGCGAAACGGCGTCCGCTGACAACCGTCACATGTTTGGGCCTGTTTTGAAGCGACACCTAAAGGAATTCCGCGATTCTTTTTGGGGGCAGATCCCGCAGTTTAAGATCCCCCCCCTCCCCCCCGTGTACCCCCAGCGTGCATGCGGGCTGCGACGTAGAGGCAAACCTGCGCCATGACAATGGCCTTCTGCATGCTGGGGTTCCCCAAGATGTCGTGCCACATGGGGCGCGTAAAGGAGCGGCTGATGTAGGCGCGGATGTTCTCGGACCTTACGACCGGCAAAGTTACAGAAGTGAAGAATAATTGTTCTAAAAATCGGACCTTGGAACAAACGTCCGACCCACAGACTTCCAGTTGTGACTTGTTTGCAAAAGTTAGGGGGGTTCACCAGTCGAATGTGGGTTTTTGCCACCCGTTGCCCTTCTCCCACATTCAGGTGGATCATGTTGGGTTTCGGAAGGCAAAGCCCATCTAGAAAAGGCCCCGCAAGCAAGTACTCAAGAGCTCTTTCGGGTCCTTCTGGTTAAAACCTCTCGATCTACTGCTAAAGGTGGTGTTACGCCTATTGGCCCAAATTGGCCTTATTGGCCCGGACCAGTTTTGGAGGGTTGGAGGTATTTAGGCAGACCGGAAGGTTTGACCACTGGCGTTCCTGCAAGCAACAAGTTGGATCGTGCTCGGGCCATTCTCTCACTGGGGGCTCTGTCAACAATGCGCCGGCCCCCAAACTCAGAGCCGGGCCAAACCAGAGAAATGAAGGCCACAGTCTGCGCACAGCTCAGCCTCGGTTGACGCAGTCGAGTCCAGGAATTTTAAACCAATACAAAAACGCCTCTTGTTATTAAACAACCCCTCGCAGCATTCACAGCCAATTTGGAGACTTGCAGCAATGTCCCCGAGCAAAAAGGAGAACAACTTGGGGTCGACCATGTGACCGAACAATTGGGTTTAAGTTTTCTCCCGTGGGGTAGATCACCGTGTCTGTGCCAATCCGGGTCATTCCCAAGACTACTGTACCACTTAAACGGCCTTTGCCATTGCAAAGCGTTCCTAAATCTGATCCACAACCAGCGTGTGCCTTCCCCTCCCAAAAACAAATGGTTCGGACCCGTGGTTGGGACAAATGTGGAATCCTCGGAGAAACCCAAACTCTTAGGGGGCCAAAACATGTTTCCAAGGCAAACCAAAAGGAACAGCCCTGCGAAGTACATGCCAATTGCAACATACACTCAAATCCAACGTTGCCCTCAGAGGTCCTAAATGGGAATTCGCCAGGGGTCGCCTTGACCAAGTACTGATCTTCCAAAGCCCTGGTACATCATCCAAAACAGGTTCCCCCGCTTCCGGGCCAGCGAACAAGCAGAACCCGAAAAGCAAGTCGAAAAGTCGAGAAGCACAGCTTCACAAACCACATACCAAGAATAGCAAGATGCCGGGAGCATGGCAAGATGCCGCGCCAGCTAGGTTATTTTGGGCCAGCCTTGGGTCCCCCTACGGCCCCCCGATCCTGTAAGCCTCAAAGGGTCTCAGTTTCCTCCAGCTCCAACTGGCACTTTGCCTCCAACTGGATCCAAGTCCAACCACTGAAATGGTCGTCCTAAGAGTTTTGAAGCCCAGGAACTCAGCGACTGAGCCAGAGCAATCGGTCAAACCCAAGGCCAGTGCAGAGGGGTCCACCTCTTTGAACGCACGGGTGCTATCAATGTGCTATCAATGTGCCACCCCTGTTGTTTGCGATTTTTTCAACAAGGCTAACCAAAGCCATAGCTGGCAGGGTCCGGTTGCTGCCGCAACTTACCGACTGCATGCACGCATGGAATGCAAAGGTCGCTAGCCCCGGCCCAGAACCCTCTTGCAACTAAGAGGCCTCCTCTGGAAATCTGGCGGCGCGAAATGGCAGGCAAGATCCTTTTGACCCAAATTTCATCACCCCGAATTTGGCCCCCGGAGCTCGCTACCCCGTTTTTTTTTGTTTTTTTTTGGTCTGCCTATCCCAAATAAGATAGCAAGACAAATCAGCGGGACTCGGACCCTGGAAAGGTGCACTGAGGGTTCTGGTTTGAAAAGCGCGAACAAGTCTCACGTCCTGAGTGATTTCACCAAACAAGTGCAACTGCTTGCTTACCACCAGGTAATTGTTAAAAACTCCAGAATCTCGAGAAGTAAGTTTACTCACCCCGGAGACGCCCGAATGCCGCGAAGCTCCGGGCCAGCAGAAACGCAACCCAAAATCAATAAGCTCCACCCCAACTTGGAAGAAGCTGCTCCTCATGTTGCTATCCCGTGCGAACTAGCCCAACAAACCGCCATGTAGACGAATCTCCTTTTGGGGTTCCAAATGAATTTGCAGCTGTTGTGTTTGTGTCCCCTGCTGTTGGATGGGCGGGGGGGGTCATGATGCTGCTAATGAGGGTGGCCTTTCTCGATATGACCGTACTTGGCCCAAGCACACACACAAGGCCAGCAAACGACGAAACAAGCAAAAAACCCAACGAAAAGGCCACGGTTGCCTGGGCCGAGCTCGTAGATGTCCTTCTGCAGGATCTGGCCATCGCAGAAGTTCATCAAAGCAACCAAGTAGACGCCCACAATCACCACCTGAAAAACAGGACTCGAGCCGATTCACGCGCGCGAATGTGAGAGAGGGAGAGAGAGAAACAAAACCCACACTGATATCCTGTTGGGCAATACAAAAGACGAAGAACAACGAAGGCTGTGCTGGTCCACCCTATTTTGATACATGCCCATTCCAATTTATGGGCATGTGACATTTGTTGAGGCTCGGTTCGTTTAGAAGTCAACAAAAAAGGCGCGTGTTTTTGTAGGGTACCCTCTATATAAAGTCTACCGGGCTGCTTTCAAGGACAAACAGCAGGAAAACCACCTGTTTTGGTGGTCCAAATGCCTACATTGGTGGTGGGGTCGCTACAATTCCCCCCCCATTGCCCAACATCAAGTTGGAAATGCACCTGAGTCCAAGCCCACACATAGGCTACCCCTTTAGACTTAGCTTGCCGTTACCCTTCAAAGACTTGATGGGTAGAACTGTCCAAGCGGAGGTCCAAGGTCCAACCCCGAGAAAAGAACCCAAAAGGGAAGTCGCGCGCCGCTCATTCAAAGCACTTGGGGCAGTTTCCAAGTGGAACCCCCCCCTTCGAACTTCCTCAGCCACCCTAAGCAGGGCCTCAAGAACGCCCACTGGGCGTTGCTAGGCTTTCCTAGACACACAACCAATTTGCTTGAGCAGCCGCCCCAAACAGGGTCTCAAAAAAGCCCGCTGGGACACCAAGGAGAAGAGACAAAGGGCGGCACGCAAGGCACCCACTCCGCGAGCCAAGCATAAAAACCGCTGGGGTGCCGTGAGCACCATGCCGTTCATGACCATGGACAGCCACATCCTCGGCTTGAATCATGGAGTGTGTCTTTTCTCATAACGCCCCTGGAAAATAACTATTTCCAGGAACTAGTGATAGATGTCCAGCAATTAGTGATATTTCCAGTAATTAATCAGCTTCAATAATGTTTTTGCTGCAGCCCCTGGAACACATTTTGTCCAGTACTTCGTAGTAGATTCCGATTCCCTTCACACAAACACAAACACACACACACACACCCAAAAAAAAACACAGGGGAACATACAGCACGTTAAGCAACGGAAGTTCATTTCCAACTGGATTCCCACCAATCGCCTGTCGGTCTGTCTTCAGCTGGCATCGAGCTTCGAACGCCAGAAGAGTAAACCAAGTACGATGATGATATTGTCATTTGCTTCAAGGCAAAAAAGCGGGGCATTGTGTTTCAACCACATGGGGTGTTATTTTTTATGGGATCCCCTTTGGGCTGGGTCTGGGTCTTAAGGGGGGACTAAAAGGACAACCATCTCTTTTTTTTGGGGGGGAAGGTTCCCCCGAAAAGGACACGCCCAAATGTGGCTTCAAGTGCTTTTCCATACCTCCCGTGAGGCCGGGGTTCCACATGAGCACGATGGGCTCGTCCTGGGAATGAGAGACCACGGTAGAGGATTAGAGGATTGCGGGCCATATGCCCACTACTTACTGGGGCAGTGTACTTTGCAAGTGGTTAGAAAGCCTGGTCATAACCCAGTTAGGAGACTTATAACTATGGTAAGTGGGTTATGACTAGGCTTACTAACCACTCACTAAGTCCAATGCCCCCCGGAGTAGGCGACTTGCATCGTATCAGAATGGGCCCTGCCAATGCAAACAATTCAGGTTTGTTGACCTGAAGATAATAAGCCAGGTAGATGAATAGATGGGGGTTGTTTGTCCCTGCGAAAGGGTTTGAAACAGTATTTCGGGAGAGAATAAACAGGCCCTAACCCACCAACAAGAAGAGACAGTTTAAGCCCCCCAGTCCCAAGGGCAAAGTGGTGCCCTCGGCTGGCAATGAACCACACAGATAACAAACGGGGGATCCTGTTTAACCGCAAAACCCAAACAGGAAAGGGGACCAGCGCAGCCAACCAAGCGAGCGCAGCAAGCAAGCGAGCAAAGCAATTAACCAAGCAGAAGCGGAGCAGCAGCAACAATGCGATTCCCAACCCAAACCTGACCCACACCCAAAACCACCCAGCCGCCGTAATCCGGGGCGTGGGATTCGAACACCCACGCACCGGCACGGCGCCGCTGCCAGCGATTTTGACGGTAATGGCAGGTCGAATCGACGGAATAAAAGCTTGAGCCAAATGCCGCGTTGGGCATTGGCGTGAAATTAAACATGTTGCGATAAAAGTACATGCCCCCAAAAACACCCCCCTCGACTGTACAAAGAGAAGGAGTTAATTTGGAAAGGCGCATTGGCCATGCTGAAGTTGAAATGCAACAAACAAGACAAACAAAGCCGATTAGGCTACCAGGGTTCGCGACCCCATACCCGGGCACTCATTGGTGCCCGGATCCCGCCACCACCCCGAATTACGGGTATGAGGCGGATTCGCCCCGGTAGCCAAATCAAACAAGAGAAAGCAAAACGAAACAGAAACAAAGATTCAACTCCAAAATGGCAGGCGTGATATATCTGCGATGCAACCACATTGAATCATTAGATTCACGTGGATTTAGGGCTTGAATTATGTTGTCAAAAGCGCATTGGCTTGCTGGTTGAAACGTGGTGCGAAGACCGAAATATCTCGGCCTTGAACGGCACCGTCTAGGCGCGCGATCACTCGAAGACAACCTCCAGGGATACCGCCAGCAGCATTCGGCGGTTCAGGTCCGAGTAGGGCCTCACCGGCAGCGGTGCGGGGCATCCGTGATCCTCACCTCGGCACCTTGATAAGCTCCATCACCAGCAGCAGCAGCGGTGCAGGAGGATACCGATCACCAGCGGCCATAGACGCCGCCGAGGGTGACTGCCTTGCTGTGGCGACGCACACCTGACGGGTAATCGCAGCTTGCGCGAATAGCGCACAGCCACACATGCAGATGAATTCTGAAATGGCGAATAGCCCAGACAACGAAATACGACAAGGAGCATAGTCCATCTTGTGAATTCCGAAATGAAAGCATGCGCGCGTTGGCGCAGCCATGCAAAACACACAGACAGACTTCAGGTATTACCGATGTCGTCCGCCGCCGTGCCGTCCCTTCCCCTTGTTGACATTCCAGTCCCCAGGGGGAGGAGGCACTGTCTCGGCCAACTCGTCATCGTCACCCCAGGTAGGGGTATGCGGCGAGTTCGGATTCTCGAGCTCGCGGGGATCACCCTGCATATGCGGCTGCCAACCCTGCGGCATTGCGCCGGGCCACATTTGCGGCATCATGCCAGCCATGGGCTGTTGCATGTATCCTCCCATCGGGAAATTGGGATACATCGGACTTGGGAACGGGAAAGGAGCAGCCTGTGCGCCCCTGTAGCCCGACTCGCGAGCATCAGGCTGATACCCGCCAGTGGGAGTTCTCGATCTGGCGGATCCGCCACGACCGGGCTGCCCTTGTTGGTAGCCGTATTGGCCACCCTTGCCTTTGTACTGGTCACCCTTGTGACCCTTTCCTGTAAATTGGTCACCTTTGTGACCCTTGCCGGAGAACTGGTCACCCTTGTGACCTCCACCCTTGGGCCAGGAGTGCGCAGGGGCTTTGCCCTTTTGTTGATCCCCCTTTGCCCTGAAATCAGGTCGCGGGGTAGCAGACCGATGATCTCCCCTATATAGGAGTGGCTGCCCGCCTATGGTGCTTCCCAGTCGGCGGGTCAGCAAAAACAATGGCGCTTTGGCCGTCGCGCTGTGCAGCGGGGACCATGTCAACCTTGTTATTTTCGACATAAATGTATGCCTCAGCATACTCAATCGGGGCCGTGATGGATCCACCACCGGCCCGCAGAGAGTCGATACTCAAATCGAGAACTGTGGAGGCATCAAAACTTGGGTCCTCACTATTGAAGTCCGAGAGGCGTCGCTCAGCATGTACCAATGACATTATAATGTCCGCACGTGAGGCGCCTAGGCCATACAGTGGAACCAAATATCCGTCCTCAATCCCGATGCGGTAGGCATCAAAAATATGCACAGAGAGGTAAAGAGCAAATGCTGAATTTAGACTGCCCTTTCTCGTCATATGACGACCCCATTGCGCCGCCTGTTGCGGGTGCTCGACCAAATATGTCATGACAGACATATTGTCGGGAATTGGGACGCCAGTATTGCTCTCCTCGATGAGCAGCTGTTTTGCTACCCATCGCTCGAGAGCCTCGTCACTCGCACGCACACAAGCGTGAGTGTCCCTTGAGGTGACTTTCACAACCTCCTGAAACGCAACCTGCACAGTATCCGCATTGGGATTGTGCACAAGATGAGGCGCACAGCGCAAACCGGAGATCATACAGCTGACCACCTCGCGGATCGGGTTTACCGACGCCATGAGAGGAGCCCACACGTCAGTCTCTCCTTCATACCAGCTGTTGGCACGGACTGCCTTGAGTCCGTCCAGCCAAACTGGCTGCCCTCTCCTAACTTGGGAGCGGATGGTGCCTGGCACCCATTCTCGATAGAAAATCGGCAAATGGCAACCATTGCATAGAATGGTGCCATACATATTCAAATGCGCGCACCGAGGGCACCAAGAGTCATGCATGGGAGCTTTGTCCCATGAAAATGACACCCCTCTCCGCGGTCCCTGGACATTCAATTCTCGGACCGCCCAGGGACGGATGTATATTACATCCCCTTCCTGGTGCAGATAACATGCGCGCCAAAAGGGCGCATGTATCTCCTCTCGCACAGCAATCAAACCGCGTCGGGTTTTATAGATGCCGGCGGCTTCCTCGATGGCCATCCACTTTAAGTCAACGGCCACAACGACATGGCGCTTGTCCATGTATTTGACGCGATCGTCAACATAAAATTCGCCCTCATTATTGGGGCTTGGCAACTTGAGGAGAGGCACCTTTGCGCCCTCCAACCCGATCATGATCTCCCCCCTGCAGACCTGCTCAGGTCGCATTGCCCAACGCTTGAAAACTTTGAACGGCACGTCCCTCCCGATTAGGGTGGAACGCGCAAAAAGCACCTCATTCGGGCGCACAGTCGAGCCATCTCCCCTCCAGACTGTCCGTATTAGGAGCTCGACTGGAGGGTACGCTGGGCTCTCCTTCGCGAGAGAACCCACCCAGGTCGCCACCTCGACACTCGTGCACTTATGGATCCCGTATAGGGCCTCAAAGAGCGTTGAGATTAGAGTCATTGACATCCAACCTCCCAGAATGTCTGGAACCGTCCCACACAAGAAGGGAGCCGGCTCACCGGGCTTCACGTTCAACCGCGTTGGGTCAGTGTTGCCCGACAAAATTTCTAGCAGCATTTGCGACTCCCTGGAGCTTCGCCCAAGCATCGCCGACGTATCCTTAATCTCGGGGAAAAAATGGAAGATGTCGTTACCGGCAGGACAGGCGATTCTGCCTGCTGTCCCGCTCTGTGCATCAAACACAACCTCTTCACCCTCGTATGTGAGGTTGTAGGTGCTCGCAATCGGGCACACATCGGGCTTTGCCATCAGTGCATCCTCTAGCGACGCACCAACAGGGAGGACGCCCTTTTCGTGCGCTTTGGCACCTATGGGACCAGTCTCCGCTGACATAAGCCGATAATTTTCGGCACGAACGTATGGAAATAGGTTTTTCATCCTCTCAATTTCCTCTTCTGTGGTGCGCCACGCCTTTGCCTCATAGTAGGGCGGCTCCTGCTTTGAGGGCACTAGGTCGCGGTCGCCCATTGATGAGAACTTGTCCACATATGGGCCCATCCCATCATCATCTACGTGACCCTCGTGATCCTCATCCGAGACGTACTCCCTGGCGGCTCGCCCAGAGCGTCCAGATCGACCTTACCAAGGTCGACCAACGCCGGAGAATCCAGGATTCTCTGAATCCTCATGAGCTCGT